AAGTGTTAAGTTATGAAGAGAAAAATGGCAGAAATCCACCTGATATCCAGAATATGGAAGATTTCCAAGCAACAGTGGATGAATGTCACTTGGAGGACCTAGGATATCATGGAAACATGTTCACTTGGGACAATGGCAAAATTGATGAGGATTTTCTTGAACAACGACTTGATCGAGCTGTTGCTAATTCAGAGTGGAGGACTGAGTTTCCAGAGGCTAGAGTCTATCATCTGGATAGATGGATGTCAGACCACATACCCATAAAAATCGAGCTGAATCTATAGGAGGAACAAGTGAAATGGGGATGGCATTTTAAGTTTGAAGCTTTCTGGCAACAGCATGAAGAGTGTGCCTCTATCATAGAGGCTGAATGGCAGAAGAATCCAGATTTGCCACTTGAAGAAAGAATCAAAAATTGCGAGAAAGTTCTATTGGAGTGGGGAAGAAGAACCTTTGGGAACCTGAAGGCCAGGAGAAAGAGAATTGAGAGAGCCTTGACAAGAATCTCCAAAATGAAAAAAACCAAAGCTGTACTCATCCAACGTAGAGCAGTAGAGAAAGCATTAAATGAAGTGTTGGATTTGGAAGAAATCAGGTGGAAGCAGAGATCAAGATCAGATTGGCTGAAGGAGGGGGACAAGAACACTGGCTTTTTTCATCAGAAGGCCTCCAACAGGAAGCGTAGAAATACAATTAAAGAACTACAGGGAGAAGATGGATCTATCTTCAGGGGACAGGAAGAAATTATGGGCTGCTTCACTAATCACCTTCAGAAATTATTCACAGCAGAACCAACTCCTAGTCTCTATGAGGTGCTGGATGTGGTGGAACCTAAAGTTACAGACCAAATGAACCAAGAATTGCTGAAGCCTTTTACTAGAGAGGAGATCTTTGAGGCCTTATCTAGAATGGCACCCACCAAAGCCCCTGGCTCTGATTGAATGCCAGCCCTCTTCTTTCAGAAGAATTGGGCGACTGTTGGAGATGCTGTGTGCTTAGAACTACAAAGAATCCTACTGACAGGGGAGGTTCCTCCCTCCCTGAACTACAAAGAATGGCACCCAGACCAAACTCTCTCTCTCACACTATTGGCCGGCTAATTAATCCCATCCTTGTATATATAGGCCTCTGCCGGAAGGAGTAATAATCAGGGAGATAACTTCCAAGTCAAAGAGATGCCACTGCGCCGGAACACCAACCTCTCTCTTGTGCTGTATGATTATAAAATATTGTTGCCGCAGAACTGGCATATATATATATGTGTACAAATGGCACGGCTGGCGGGCTGGGGGAAACCGGCGACGCGAATCCAAGGATCGGAGAAATTCATGCACGCGTCAGCTAGCTAGGGCCTTCCGGCGGCAGGCAGGAATAAGTCCATGAGCGACCGGAAAGACTTAGATATCTCAATCAATTGAGTTTAATACTTTAGTCAACCTGCAAGTGCAACTGAAAGCGTGTTTAGTTACCACAGTTGTGAACAGAATTTTCTCTTTTATGATTTGATTACCATATCTATTTTCGCATACCAGAGTTATTTAATATGAATCTTGCTTTAAACCGACAGTACAGCGATCAAATATTACAAACGTGCTACTACGACAAGAGATAATTTCAACATTTCAAAAAGGACAAAGCAGTGGATGAGATGATTTCAACCATAGCATTTAGTTGGGAATAATTATACAGACACAAGATGAACAAGGTAAAGAGAGAAATACAATAGTACTACTACAAATATAGTTTTGTACCCTAATTCATATATACCATAAAAAAAAAATAGTCAGCCGATTATACAATTTTTTTGTTTGAATCGTCAAGTTAATCTTTATTATTCCACCGAAAAAAATTAAATCTTTATTATAATCAACCGATTGTATAGAAATGTGCGTGCACATCTACGCAATCTGTAAAATTGCAATTCTTAGTAAGTGTAAAACTCCGAAATTGCTTCACCAATCCTGAAATAACTAGTTCTTGATGAAATTCATGAATTTTGTAAAAGCTGGTTGATTGATTTCCTAAATTACATTAAGAAGTATGGGGAGTTCTACGACATCTTGGGTAAAATTCGGGGTACGCATACCTTGAGTATGAAAACACTAGCTAGACCTTGAATTGACCGATCTTTCTGATATGATACTACACTCTGACCCTTAAAGATCAAAATCTAGGTCTTAATTCTCCCAATCTTATACTCCAAGATCAATTTAATTAGAAACAATAATCGACGGTTATGATTCGTCCAAATATAGGCACAAAAAGGAATGCACCATCTTAGGGTTTATAGATTATGATTTAGATAATTAGGACCTAGGGTTCACTCATTGAGGGTTAGGATATAATATCATACCCAAAAATCCAGCTAATTCGAGGTCTAGATACCGTTTCCATACTCAAGGTATGCGGTACCCCGGATTTCACCCGGGGTACCGTAGAAGGCACCTAAGAAGTATACATGTAAATATGAATAAATAAATTTGATAATATCAAAATGTCTTTGCCAATACAATTAACAATGAGAGTAGTGTAACTATGCATTCATAATATATATACACTCGTTAGTAATAGTATATGAAGGTCATTATCAATATGTTTATATATTTCCATTATTAACGTACATGCATTCGCTATTAATAATATCAGCTTCATTATCAATTTTACTAATTCCATTATCAATTATTTCTTGTACTTTTCTTATCCCGCATTACAAAGATTGTTAAAACTAATAATGTGTGCTGAGGGTTTTTCACTAATACAGTTTATGATCAATTTACGTCTCCATGATTTGTAATCTTCTGAAGGGCTATGGTCAATATTTTTACCCGCTCAATAGTCAATGTTTGTCGTATTGTGAATGTTGTCTGATAGGCCTGTTAATTATGTTAGGTTGTGCTATTAACTTTTTTATTGTCGCTTTGTAATTGTTTTATCAATTTGTTGGTAATCGGTATTAATTCACTAATATAGTATGTTATTAATTTAGTTCATAGTAATGTGTAATATTTGGAAGTGATGTAGTCAATCGTGCATGATTTGATAATGACCCGTCTTATCAATAAAAAAAGGTGATTTAATGGTTGTGTTGTCAACATTGTTAACCTCCGTGACTCTATTATTAATTATATTACTGAAATTATTAACAGGTAACTAAAACCATGTGCAATAAGGGGAGCCTCTGATTTGAGATTTTTAGAGCAATGTAACGGAGTTGTCAATGTTGTCAACAATAAATATTAGTTTTTTCACACACGTTAACATTTTTTCGTGATGCTATTTTTAACGTTCTCAATCAAATTGAAACACGATTTATCGATCGTGTTGTAAACATTATTATCCTACCACATCATTATTATTAATTAGATCATCGAAATTATTAAATAGTAACTAAAATGCTGTCACAATAAGATTAGCTTCTAATTTGAGATTTTTAAAGCAACGTAACTGAGTTGTCAACGTTTTAACAGTTTATATTAGTGTTTTCGCCTACATTATTAACATTTTTAGTTACGCTATTATTAATGTTCTCAATCAAATTGAATCACGATTTACTTGTGTTGTAAACATTCAAGTGACGCTATTATCAACTTTCCAGCTCATTATTGTTAATAATATACAACATCATTATTAATATTTTCTACATAATTTAAAACAAATGACGAATTCATTATTAAGAAATTCTTGTCATTTTTCAACGTAAACAATAATACTATGAACTAAATTCGCCTCGACGCATCTTCTCCTCCTTCTGCAAAAGCTTCCGTCAGGAGGCGTGACAGCTGGAGACCGGCAAGATGGGGTGACGACCTGATGGGGAGATGTCGGATGGCGACGGGACGACGACGGAGTTAGGTAGGATGCGGCGGGATGGGGACGGGGAAGCTGACGGGAAATTAACGACATGATGGCGTCGTGACGACGGGAAGATGGTGACCTGGCGAGGTGTCCACGGGACGCTGACGTCGGGATGGCAACGAGACGCAAACGTCGAGATTGCTGACGAATATTGGTTGTCGGGGAACGGGACGACGGGTGTTGCTGAGTCTCCGAATGGTGTTCGAAACGAGCTTCGCGCCGAGTGGATGCTGACGGCGAGAAGGTTTAGGGTTAGAGAGGACAACCGTCTTCTGATAATGGATTCGGCCGCCTCTTAATAAACCATGAGTTTAATTTTCGTTTTTCATTTTAATTATTATTATCATTAATATTTACTATGTTCCTTTATTGTTCTTCTAGGTAGTTAGTCAATGATTAGTACTGTTTTTATCTCTCCTCTTCCTATTGACTGGAATAGGTTTAAGATCTTCCTTAAGAAATGTGGCTTAAGGACCTGATCCAACCCCTGGTATATGGCTTTCGTGGAAAATAAGCGTTAATTGGTTTGGTGGATTTCAAGAACTGGTCTTTGACCCCAATTCGATTTCGTTTTCAGTTAGGTGTATTAATGGACCTTACAAATCCAAAATCTAGGCAGGGGGAAAATTGGTCAATGGGCCACTAAATTAGAATCGGGAAAGGGGAAGTATCGGTCTGGGCCTCTAGGCTGGGGGTAGGGAAGTGATGACGATATATGGGCCAAGAGTCTTAGTTCAATCATAAATATTTAATTAATCCTAATTAATTAACTATTCTTAAAATTTTAGAATAAACGACCAATACACAGTTGTTAAATAGCTAAGGTATCTACAGCCAGTCACTCGGCTCTTTGTACAAGGATCAATCTTTGATATCATTACCCCTTTTCTGTTTTCAATAGCTACAAATGGTGTTATACAGCAATCATCGTCACAACACAAACAACCCAGCCCAACTTACAAACTACAACACCATGGGGAATTCACCAGATGTCACACTTCACCTAAACAGAGACATAATCCCCCAGCTAACTGCACCTCTGGGCTGCCGATCCCAGGTAAGTGTTACCGTGTGTCAAAAATTTGTAGGAAGCAATATTGCTGCTGTGATGTGTGATTCTGAGTAGTGCAGCAGGCATGGCGAGCCTATTTAAGCAGGAAAGCCAGAGCAGATAAAACGGCTGTGACTAGTATCGACGGGGACATGATGTGGCGGGAGCTGGCATTCGGCAACCAAGGGTAGGCATCAGGAGGAGGCATTACACAGTTGTCACCATTGAAGTAGATCCTTCTCGGGAAAGCCCAACCCTTTTCGAACGTGAAGCTCTCGGTTTCTTTCTGGAAAAGTAACTCCGACTGCACGTTACCAGTAGGGCCAGCTTGCATCAGCAGATCGTTGTAGAACTTCACTCCCCACATGATCATAGTGTCATCTGCAGTAAACCAAAGATGGCATGGTTAGTCACCGCGTTAAGTGTCAAAATATCAACATCCATTGTGGGGAAACGGAAAGGGGATTGGATAAACTTACTGATAGATGCATATGGATTCAACGACTTGGCGTTGAAGCTGAAGATTTGGGTCAGGTTGTCGAAGTTCGGATGCTGAGCCACTAAGTTCCACTGAGAATAGTTCATTGCGTAGTTGAAGTTGGTGATGGTGATCTTCACCCGCCAGTACTGTTTGTAGTTCAGTTTAACATGCCAATGAACTCTTATGGGACACATGTGATGTGTACACTGAACAGCAGGAGGCACTGCCAAGCCGTTCTTCCCCGGGTTCGGAACAACTGAAGCTAAATGTGGTTTCTCCGGACTGTAATAAGTTAAGGAATAAGATCCCATCGACAAAAATCATATAGAAGTGGTCACTTTGAATGACTAAGTTAGAACTCACTTTACACAGCTTCCAGACAGAGTAGTGTTGCTTTTGCAGCCACATGAGCATGTTGGGCAAGGCACTATAGTGTTGTTGTAGAATGATGATAATGAGACACAGCAAGTTGGAGTCTTCTGAGCTAGAAACTGAGAATACGTGCAAGTAACATTCCATGTCACTGCAAAGGACAGAAATCATTTTGTTACCTCAGAACAGAAGATAAACTGCTCAAATGTACGTCGAGAACTAGTTAATCCCCATAGGCGAGACCCCTTACAGTATAAACCTCAAATAAACAAACATTGGTCTTAGAATTAAATATCTATAATGCACATATGAAATTCTTAATCATTTCATTGACTACTAAACTTACTCAAAGCTTGAGTGACTCGTCGTTTATCTGCAGTAGTGAATCGACTCGGTTTGACAACTTTAGCCGGTCCACATGTGTAGCCAGGACCAGGTGCCTGCAGAGTGAAATTCACAGGAAGTCTGACTGTCTTATTGGTAGTGCCCAGGGGCGGAGCCAGGATTTGATCATCGGGGGGGCCGAAATTTTTTTAATACGTTATCAAAAGGTTAAAAAAACTAACCGAACATAAAAAAAATCATTAAATTCAATTTAAATCACAAAAAATATACAATTTTGATAATGCATTTCAATATAGAGTGAAACATTATTTTTACGTACAAAAAACTAATGTCTATCAATATTCTTCTTAAACACAAATTATTCATAATTTATCCGAAGGTACCATTGAAATGGAATCATTTAATTGATCTAGTTTGAAATTAAGAAATTAATGAACATTTATATGAAAGCTTAATAATTAAATTGATTTGTTCAAAAAAGAAAAAATGGTGTTCCAAGCTGGCCTCAAAGTTGGATCGAACCAGGAACCATTATTGTAATGACATGCCCCTTTGCGCTGGGCTAAGTAGAAATTCATGTCCTCATTTTGCAACGCTATTATTTAATATTAAATCTCTAGTTTATACGTATTATGCCGAACCATTTAAACGTAACTTTCGAGATTCTCGGGGGGGCCGGGGCCCCCCCGAGGCCTCATGTAGCTCCGCCCCTGGTAGTGCCGGCCTGTCCTACGCTAAGCTGAAATGAAGCAGCAGCAGCAGATGGATCCTGTGCCCACGAGCTGAGCACTCCACCCTTGCAGCAATTTGCGACCTGCTTATTGTAGGGAGTTCCAGGCAACAAATCCACAACAGTGGGTTTCTTCTTGCAGCAATGTGGAATGTTTCCTTTGAATCTGGAGCAATCCCCTTGCTCAGTTGTCTGCCCTCCCACCACATCCCATATCACCTCTCTCTTCCTCCATGTCCATCCCAACGACCATCCTGGTGCTTGAATGTGACGGTATTGTTGGAAGTTGTAGAGTGTTACAACCGCCTGTTGATCAGTTTCATGAATGTATCACAACACATTATCAAAAAATGAATGTATCAGAACATATTAACAACTGAAGAGTATGAAGGAAGCAGTAGCAGCATAAGCAGTAATTACCAGCTTAGCAAATATAGCAGAACAACGTGTAGCAACTGAAAGGTATGAAAGAAGAAGTAGTAGCATAAGCAGTAGTACTTACCATGTAACCATCAGGGGTCCAGCTCATGATATCCCATTTCACTGTGATATTTCCAGTTGGGTCAAGTGGGTCATAAGCTTCTGAAAGAAAGGAAACACATCAAATACAAGAAATGAAACTTTGGGCAGTCGAGTTCTTTGAATACATAAATCTCCAAATCCACCTAATCTTTCTTAACACAGACACACAGTTAACAGAGTCAAAAGGGACAGAATCCATAGAACAGCACGCATCAATAGCAAAAGTTCAATGGCAGAGGAAATTTGAAAGTCACAACTTCAACAAAGAGTTCAAATGCGAAGCACATCTTATCGGAACCAGCTCAGCCGTTCCAGCTAATCATTATTCATTAGTAGCTTTATAGAAAATCCAAGTGTTCACATTAAACCTCTTCATAATCTCAAATCCACTGGAAACTGGTTCATTCCCATTTCAACTATCATTAAAGATCAAGTATTTTCCACCCTCTTCTTCCATTCAAGGGTTTGAGAAACATTTGCCACTTGACAAAGAAAAAGAAACTTGGAAAAGAAAAGGAAAAACCTAGTGGCGAGCCCCTAAACCCAATTTTTAAAAAGCCTCTCCATGAGAATGTTCCCGAAAAAAGTAAACAAGAAAGAATATTTAACCAACAGAACAAAACAATGTAGAAGAATCCAGAGAGTCTTATTCCTGCATCCACTCATCTCAAGCTGTGCATGGCATATCCAAAGATTATGCACTCAACTTCGCACGCTAACTTTTCTCAATCACACTCTAAATCTCCTCGTCAAACAATCAAACGCCGTAGGAGCGAGCTAACAAGACCCTAAACCCAAATGGCCGATGATCGATGATCGCAAGGAAACCCATTTCTCCATTTCTCACCACAAACCCAGAAACTTAAAAAGAGAGTGGCAGAGAACCCATTAAAAATAAATAACAAATAGAACAAAAAGGCCATAACTTTGAACAGAAAACGGGAGCTTAGAAAGAAAAGAAAAGGAAGGAAACGTTTTAGACCGAACCTGTAGAAGTGAAGATGGTGGCAGCAGAGAGCAGGGAGAGGAGGAGAAGCAGAGTGGTAAATCTGGAGAGGAATCTCATTTCCTCCTTCGATGGAAAGATTCGCGACCCAGGCAAAACAATGAACCTTTTAGCTATTTTATAATTATGTCGATGAATCTTCCTGGTATTGTATTCCTTGGTGGGTTCACCTTTCTAGGGGCAGGACTCTGGGGAGCTGGAGGGGAAGAAATGTGTGTGGGGAAATGGGAAAGGAAGAAGAGCAGAGCGTTGAAGCAATGCAACTTGGGACGTTTATTTGGCGTTTGTTTGTTTTAAGGACTCAGACAAGTCACTATCCACATGTCAAAAGGCAGTATTTTTCCTCTTTTTAGTCACAAGACTGAGCAGAAAGAGGTGTGCTTAGAAGTTGGGAGACTACTGAATGAGTAAAAATAGAGGTGAGCCACCTCAAGTGTGCTTTCTTCTTTTTTGAGTGCGTGATTAGTGATTATATATATGGCTTCGCCAAGACGCGTGATCATTTAACAAAGTGGTTTTAAGACTTTAACTTAGTGTAATCAATCATATTGATCTTTGCGATGAAGTGAGTTGCAATTATGGCGAGAGCATAACCAAATTTACTCATTTAGCCAGGAAATAAGTCACCAAGAAGAGATCAGATTAGAGGTGGCAATTCTCAATCCAATCCATTTAAATCCAATCCATTTGATCCAAATCCAATTGGATTGGTAGATTCATGGATCGATCCATGGATCCAAATGGCAAATTACGGTTAGATACCTATAATTTTTATATTTTAGATTCTGGTACCCAAAATTTAATTTTTTATACGAAAAATATCATTGGACAATTACGTTTTGGTACCTAAAAAATTTCATTATGACATTTTAGTACCTAAACTTTTCACATTTTGCAAATTGGTTCTTGGTTGAGGATGTCATTTGGATTCATGGATAATCCACCAATCCACTTGATCCAATCCATGAATCCATTGGATCCAATCCATGGATCAATCCATTTGCCACCTCTAGATAAGATCCATCACGTACTCACTGATTAGTCACACTGTCGAATAAAATCCATATGGATAATAAGAAAAATGATTAATTTAATAAACAAGAATGAACGACTTGGTTTCTTGATCATTTGATGTCTGGAATTCGGATTCTCTCGATTGTACAGTCGAAGATAAATATGTTATTGGATCTAATTGATTGATTAATCAACTTGGAGATTTTATTGTTTATGCCCATGGCGGCGGTAGTTCGATGGCGGTGGTAGTCCTGATTGATGTTCTCGATCTGTTGGCGTAGTGTGTGTCGTTGGAGTTCATTGTTGGCGGCGTCTATGGTGTAGTGGTTCAAGTTGGTTTCGGTTTGGGGTGGATGTTGATGGCAGTCTAGAGTTAGTACGGTGGTGGTTGAAGATATCATTTGAACGCTATGGGCTAGGGTTGATGTTGGACTTGTTTGTTTGTTTGCCTGGGCCGTTTGCATCGTTGACTTGAAAAATGAAGGTTTTGGTATAATTTGGATTTGAAAAGTCATGGATATATGATGGTTTTGGGCTCACTATGGATTTGAAAAATACCATTGTTTGTCATGATGAATTTTGGTAATTAAATTTGTTTATATGAAGTGAAACTTACATTTCTCAAATTACCACTGGTTGTTTATATACTAATTGAGCCTACATTATTTAGCTATGTGTCTTGCAGCTCGATAGGTTGGACATAAGCATGGCAGTACTGTTAATTTTTTTCAGCTTATTTCCTCCGTCGGATCCGCTGATCATTTGCAGAGGCAAAGAAGATTGTGTAGATCAAGCGGGGAAAGGGAGATATGGGCAAGTTGAAAAACTAGCTTTATGCTTGCCTTTGCGGCTTTGCCCTTTGGGCCATCTCCCTGCTTCAGACCAGCATGACCAGGGTTTCCACTGAGTTGCATGTTGCCTCCATGACTAATATCATATCTTACAAGTTTTCTACCACAGTTACAGAGGAGGAGCTGTACAACATTCTCAATTACGATCCGATCAAGGTGCATAGAATACTCTTCGTGGTGATATAGTCCCCAGTCATTTGCATGTTCAATGATTGCACGGTACAATTGAAGCAGGACGAGTTCATCGTTCATGGATTTTGGACAATTGATTCGAAGAATAAGACAATGCAGTTCAGCGACATATACCTTTTGAATGGACTAAGGAAACAAAGTGTATTATAGATTAAAATTTTATTAAATATGATCAACGTTCATGTAAATCTTAATTATGGCTAAGTAAAGATTGGTAGTAGTGATTAGGTACATTTTTAGTAGGGTTGCGGAGGTTGCTAGTTCACAATTGTGTTGCGTAGCTTAGGGATAAAGTGTGCATTTAATATTGTTCTACATTCATCAAATGGTGGATTCTTGGGTTTGTTAGTAATCATTTTTCTTTGGCATCCATGACAATGAGAAATGTTACTGGGTTTGGGTTGAAATCATTTCTTGATTGATGCATGTCATTCTTGCGCAGGAATTATACTAATCTTCTTTGTATCGTTCTAATTTTATGAATGTCCCTAAGGGATTGGGTTGGAATGATAGAAAATTTGGGCCTGGCCCATAAAATTACACGAATGATTTTCTCCAACGCTTTCCCGCTGGCCGCCGTTCGTCCAATTGGCCTATTTCTCTCGTCAAACTTCTCCACCGCGGCGCGTCGACCATAATTAAATAATAAGAAAATTAACAATTCCAGAATATTAGTACACTAGTACAGAACTACAGATCGGTCGTTGGATTGCAGAATGAGACTTTCGTATTGGAAAGTTTGATTTTTCGTTTCAGAACGGGAATCTTTCGCTCCAAGTTCCCCTGAAATGTGAAAACCTGATTCCCGAGAGAGAAAATTCAAACCCTTACAGCATTGATTTTTGGTTACATCACCCGCCGATACTTCTTCGCTTCCCAAGCTCCGAGATTCCCCAATGGAGGCATCCACTGCTACTACCACCACAACTAGCGCCCGAGCGCAGCCCTTTGGCCAGACCGAGATCAATTGGGACAAGTACGTTCGTCTTTTGCCCTCTGCTATGTGTATTGTTGCTACCGTAGTCAATTGATTTTCCGCTGAGCGTTTGGTTGCCGAGAAAATACGACCGAAACATGGAGTTGCAAGGTTGTTATATCACGCTGGCCTACCTTAAAACAATGGAGGAAAAGTTCCATTGTGAAAGGAAAGTACGGAACATGTGAATTCGATATGAATTTGCTTGTTTCACAATGCTCCCTCATTAGCAGTGTATGAAATCTTGATGTTTTGCTTCTTGCTAAGTATCTGATTTGGGCAAATCATCTAAACCCTTTTCATGTGCTTATGTATTTCCATCTGGGCTTTTGCCAGGTTGGACAAGACTAAGTTTTATGTGGTGGGAGCTGGGATTTTCACTGGGGTTACAGTAGCATTGTATCCCATGTCTGTTATCAAGACCAGGCTCCAGGTTGCTACAAAGGATACGGTAGAGAAGAATGCATTTTCTGTCATCAGAGGGTTACTGAAGTCAGATGGTATACCTGGTCTATACCGAGGCTTTGGCACCGTGATAACTGGGGCAATCCCTGCTAGGATTATCTTTCTCACAGCTTTAGAGACCACAAAAGTGGCTGCTTTCAAAATGATTGAACCGCTCAATTTATCTGAAGCTCCGCAAGCAGCTGTGGCAAATGGGATTGCTGGCATGACGTCGTCTTTGTTTTCGCAGTCGGTGTTTGTTCCAATTGATGTGGTATGTTGTTCGCTTCTTTCTTTGAATACCTTAGAATGGCGTCCTGATATTTATCTACACTACTTAAGAGTTAGGCTTTCTGTTTTATGACCTTTGGGAGACTAATTTTCGAGAAAGGTCGTTTCTTGAAAAATTTGCTCTATGTTGCCTATTTCTCGAGAGGACAGGGTCATTATAGTTTTGTTTTTCATTCGTATATGTATGCTGTTGGCTTAGAGAATGCATAAATTAAAGTTGCATACAATGTGGATTTCTGAATAGCTCCATGATCGTTTTGTTTTAGGTCAGTCAAAAGTTGATGGTGCAAGGATATTCTGGTCATGAGAGATATAAGGGGGGTATCGATGTTGTTCGTAAGATTGTCCGGAGTGATGGAATCCGAGGATTATATAGGGGATTTGGTCTTTCAGTCATGACATATTCCCCATCTAGTGCTGTATGGTGGGCAAGCTATGGTTCAAGCCAACGCATTATATGGAGGTGATTTCATTTTACCCTGAAGATTTGCCTTCTATTTTCTTGATTTGAATTTTCAGATTAATTTACTATTTTAGCTTTCTGTTTTAGGCTCTCTCTGATATTAAATTTAGGTTAGATAATGTATAATGTTATCTAGTCTTTTGGAAATTATATAATCATAAACTTGTGCTAGGGTATGGCTTTAGAGCATGTGCTAGGTAGGTTTTCTCCTACTGCACCCCAAACCGAGTGTATGGTCTTTTAATCCTCTCACCAGGCTTCGGTAACTTGCATGATTTATTTGTCTTTAACATGTGGATCATTCTGAACAGGTTTTTAGGTTATGGAACTGATGCTGAGCCAGCAGCCCCTAGTGACTCGAAGATAGTCGCTGTTCAAGCCAGTGGAGGGATTATTGCAGGAGCTACTGCTTCCTGCATCACAACCCCTTTGGACACTATAAAGACACGTTTGCAGGTAATAGTTCAAATCTCTAATGAATAGTGTTCTTGCGCTGTCCAACTTCTCCTTCCCTTTGGACTTGTAGCCACTCATTCATAATTTAATGCAATAAAAAAAAACTAATTTAGTTGGCCTGCAATGAATTTTTTTATATATAACAAAGTTGGCCTGTAATGATGCAACTTCTGAAAGGGGTACCATTTTATGCATGAGAAATATTTTCGCGACAGTGAAGTTGAATACTTGACTTTTACTAGTCGTGAAAGGAAGTTTTGAGTGTTCTCCACTTTTCCTTGGTTGTTTTATGGAACTTTGATATATGACGGTGAGTAAGCCATGCAAGTGGTTTAGCATCATACTCTTTTTATGGTCTTTTATAGCA